GACACAACATCTTTGTTGGTATGTGGTGCTGAGGATCGAACCCGGGCCGCACGCATGCCAGGCGAGCGCGCTACCGCTTGAGCCACATCCCCAGCCCTCCATAGCCAGTCTTGCCCACCTTCAATACTACCACTTCCATTGAACCACTTCTCCTAGGGTCATGGGCTTTGTCTTGATTGGATAAACTGAAAGAGACACACAATTCTGAGACATTTCTGCCCCAAATGTATATCTTGAAACTAATTTTGAGGAAACATCAGGTAAATTAAGACTGGGGATGCTTCTCAGTGCTAAAGGATTTGCTTAGCATACTTGAAACCCCGGGTTTCATCCTCAACACAGAGATGGGGGAACAGAGAGAGTGAATTAATATAAGAAGCCAGATTGGTGGCAGGGCACACCTGGAATCCCAGGGACCTGGGAAGCTGAGGCAGGAGGATTACAAGTTCAAGGTCAGCCTCAGCAACTTAGCAAGGTCCTTAAGCAACTTAGTGAGACCCTGTCTCAAAACAAAACATCAAAAGGGCAGGGATGTGACTTAGTGGTTAAGCACCCCTGGATTCAACTCCTTGTGGAAAAAAAATAATGTAAGAACAGGCAGTGTGAGATCTGCCCTCCTAAACAGTTTTGTGTGTCAGTATAGTATTATTAACTGTAAGCACACTGTTGTACAGCTGATCTCCAGCATTCACACATTAAGAGACAGTTTTTTAAAAATTTTTTTAGGGGCTGGGGTTGTGGCTCAGCAGTAGAGTGCTCGCCCAGCACGTGCAAGAGCCTGGGTTCAATCTTCAGCATCACATAAAAATAAATAAAACAAAGATATTGTGTCCAACTACAACTGGGAAATGAATATTAAAAAATATTTTTTTAGTTGTCAATGGACCTTTATTTTATTTATATACGGTGCTGAGAATTGAACCCAGTGCTTCACACATGCTAGCTAGGCAAGCACTGTACACCGAGCTACAACCCCAGCCCAAGAGACATTTTCAAAAGCAACTGGCTTGTACTCTTTGAAAATGTCAATGTCATGAAAGGCTGAGAATATGGACTAGATTAAAGGAGGCTAAAGAGACCATGACAGCCGAATGCCAGGGGTGACCCTTGGTTGTAAAAGAGGAAATTACTATAGTAGACATTACTGGGACAGTTGGCCAGATTTGAATATGACTACTTATTAGATAATGGTGTTGTGTCTGTGTTACATTTCCTGAATTCCATAATTGGATTGTGGTTATGTAAGAGAGTGTCCTTGTCCTTAGGAAATACACATTTCAGGATTTAAAAATTAAGAGATATAATACCTGTAACTCTACTGCCCAGCACACCAGCCACAAGCCACATGCTAGTAGAGAACTTGAAATGTGACTATTTAAATCAACTTACATGTGTCTGGTGTCTACTGTACTGAACAGTGCAGCTATAAAAAATTTCCATCATCACAGAAAGTTCTGGGCAGTGCTTATCTATGATTTGCTCTCAACATAATAACAATAATTTGCACATTTAGAGAGAGACAAAGTAGCTGGTCAGATGTTGCTGGTGAGTCTAGATGAAAGTGTTTATTGTACCTTTCAACTTTCCTATAAGTTATTTCAAAATAAAAAGTAAAAGGAAGAAAAGATTCTTGATTTTGGAGCCAGTCCTAACTTTGCAGGTATATGTCCTCAAGATAAGTTACTTAACATTTCTGAACCTCAGCTTTCTTATCTGTAAAATGGAGCTAATATTGGAGGATTATAAGGATTACATTGCCTTTCAGTGTATAGTAGTTCTAGGTACTGACTTGACTGTTCCCTATCTTCCCCATCTTCCCACATTCCCTGATAGGTACTGGTTTCCCCCATATTTATTTCTACCATGCTGTGTTTGTGGTATTGCTGTCTCTCTCTGAGCTGGCCAGCATACTAACAGCTGACTATCTCTTTCCAGTCTCTAGACGACACTGAGCTGCAGCTGCTGGGGCGGACACACTCGACCAGCAGTGCTCTGCGGGCGCTGGCAGAAGCCCGGCGCCTCTTCCCTGGCCGTGTGTCCGTGGACTTGATGCTGGGGCTGCCGGCACAGCAGGTGGGACCATGGCTCCGGCAGCTGCAGGAACTGCTGCACCACTGTGACGACCATCTCTCCCTCTACCAGCTGTCCCTGGAGCGGGGCACTGCACTCTTCGCCCAGGTGCAGCGGGGTGTTCTTCCTGCCCCTGACCCAGAGCTCGCCGCTGAGATGTACCAGGAGGGTCGGGCGCTGCTCCGGGAGGCTGGCTTCCGCCAGTACGAGGTCTCCAACTTTGCCAGGAACGTGAGTCCTGGGGCTGTTGGCTGGAGGTGTGGAATGGCAGGCTGAGTATAACTAGGTAACTCCGGCCTCTGAGGAGAAGGGCCCTGCTGGGTGCTCTCTGACCCCAGATGGTGGGACAATCTAACCAGGTGCCCTGTCCCTGAACACAAACAGGGAAACCTCCTCCCTCTGCGCTGACTATTCCCTTCTTCCCCACAGGGGGCGCTCAGTACCCACAATTGGACTTACTGGCAGTGCGGTCAATACCTTGGCATTGGGCCCGGTAAGTCCCCTGTGAGCAACAGAAGGGATGACTTAGCAGAGGAATGTCATGGCTGTGTGAACTTGGGCCACTTACTTAACCTCTCCAAGCCTGAATTTCCTCACATGTAAAATGCAGCTAACGGTAATATCTACTGTGTAGAACTGTTGAGGATGTATTGTAAGGTGTTTGATTTACTGCTGTTTCTGGGTCTTCAGTGTGTGTCAGAGTCCCCTGCAGGGCTTGTTAAAATCCAGAATGCTGGGCCACTCCTCCAGAAATTCTGATTGATACGGGCTTTATATTTCTAGCATATTAGATACTCTTGGTCCAGGGACCAGACTTTGAGAACTACTGATGTAAATCTGATAAGAACACATTGTTAGCTCATTAATGTGGGGTTCATTGTTGATGTTGTTAGGGGCCCATGGGCGATTTACGCTTCAGGGGGCTGGAGGCCATGCCCGGGAGGCTCGGATCCAGACACTGGAACCAGACAACTGGATGAAGGAAGTGATGCTGTTTGGTCATGGCACCCGGAAGCGTGTCCCCCTGGGCAAACTGGAGCTGTGAGCATCTGAGGGCAGAGGGCTCTTCACCCAAAGTTCCCCACACCCCAGAAGCACCTCCACATGTACTTCTTTATGTCCTGCCTTGCCCTCCCCATAGTCCCCAACACATCCCAGCATCAGTGTTAGAGTGGGAGAGGAAAGGCCCCCTCTCCAAGGTTCCTCAGTGACTTCTCTTTCAGGCTGGAGGAGGTTTTGGCCATGGGGCTACGTACTGACGTGGGGCTCACCCACCAGGTATGGAATAAGGTTTTTGTGTACTGTTTCCTCTTCTTAAGCCTTGCAGAGTCAGCCTCTTTCTCCTCCTGTTCCCCGCTGTACATACACACACACAGAGAGAAAACACCACAAAACACACCCCTACTAAACCTCTGGGGTTGACAGCCAGAGGTTGGGCCGTGGTCCAGCTGAGGCCTGATGGGCAGATGCTGTAGGTAGTGTGGTACAGTGGTAAGAACCCGGGACTTGGGCTGGAGAGATCCAGCGTTGGCCCCTATTCTACTGAAATCTAGGGCACATTGCCTTTCCACTCTCGGAACCTTGATTTTCTCAGCTATGTGAGGGAATAGATGAGATAAGGGGTTTCCATGTGTTTTTAAGCAGAGCTGAAACCTCAGATAGGAAGCACAATGGATAATGATCGATTAGACTCAGAGCTGCTTTAGATGTCGTCAAGTCCGTAAAACCTGAGGCTGCTGTACCCTGGCAGGCAGAGGAGAGAGAGGAGGAGCAGATGGAGACCTGGTGTGGCTGGGATCTGGGCTTCCACCTGAACGTGCCACAGGGGTGATAGTGCCCACCTCTGCACCTACCCATTGACCTGTCCTGGTGTTTATGAGTATCAGCTGCTGAGACCCCCATGCTGAGGGATCCTCCCTCACCTCTCACCCCTGCCATGAGACCCAGAGTAGTTCAGCTGGCTCATCACTTCTAACCTCTGGTTTCCCAGCACTGGCAGCAATTTGAGCCCCCGTTGACCCTGTGGGACATTTTTGGAGCAAACAAGGAAGTAAAGGAATTACTGGAGCAGGATCTATTGCTGCTGGACCACAGGTGTGTTGGGGCAGTGGGCAGAGGGGACGTAGGTGTTCCCAAGATCCCTGACTGCAGATCCAGAGACCAGGAAGTGAGAGATACTGGTGAGGATGGGCCTGTGGGTGCTGGGGCCTTGGCACAGGTGGGGATAGCATTGAAACTGGTAAGATGAAGCCGTCACATCCAGGCTTTCTTGGTTTTCCAGAGGTCTCCGGTGTTCCTGGCAGGGTCTGGCTGTGTTGGATTCTCTACTGCTGACCCTCCTGCCTCGACTCCAAGAGGCTTGGCACCAGACAACCCCATCACCTGCACCAGGAGGATGAGAAGATGTTCCTGTATCCCAGGGCAATGCCAGGTGGACTTGGGGGTCTGGACCAGCACTACAGGCATCTCTGCTGGCAGGTGCTATCTCTGCTCCAAGTGGTCATCGCCTGGCCCTGGGATCCCCAGGGGTGTGGCTACAGTGAGGTGGGTGGGAAGATATTTGGCTGGGAATTGGCATCCCATCCAGCTTTTCCAGACTCACCAGTGTATCAGTGTATGTTCCATGACTGGGAATTGTTCATCGCCCATAACAGATTTTTTTTGTTTTTTTTTTTTTGGTGCTGGGGATTGAACTCAGGGGTGCTTAACAACTGAGCCACATCCCCAGGCCTTTTTATTTATTTTGAGTCAGGGTCTCACTAAGTTGCTAAGACTTGAACTTGTGATTCTCCTGCCTCAGCCTCCCATGCTGCTGGGATTTCAGGCATGCACCAGTGCACCTGGCTGTTTACATTTTTGGTACCAAATAATGACCAGTGTTTGGAAATCTTTCTGTAGGCAGTTGCCTCCCTGAGAGGCCTTCCCCTGTTGTGAGGTCCTGGACAGCTGTATGAGTCAGATCCTTTCCAGGTATCTTAAACAAGAAGGGATTAAATATGGATATGAGACATTTAGAAAACCATTGGGTTTTTAAGAGTCAAGGCCACTTGTTCCGTAGAATGTCCCACATTCTGGATATGCCTGATTGTTTCCTAAGGATTGAATTCAGGTTGAATATTTTTAGCAATACTGATACTCGGTGTTGTGTAACTCAGGGTCCTTAATGCTAGGCCAACCCACTATCAGTAATGCTAATTTTGACCACTTAATTAAGGGGATGGATGTTCTGTTTCTCCCATGGATAGATACAGTTTTCCTTGAAATTAAATAAACAACAGATGATGTGTGATATCTTGAGACCAATTGAATATCCTGTTCTCCAATAATCACTTGCTCAGTGATTTTGGCATCTACTGATGATCCTTGCCCAAATCAGTTCTTAATTTGGAAGTTGCAAAATGTTAATTTCTGACTGTCATTCTTTCTACATTCTTTATCCATTAAAAAAACCAAACTTTCCATTTTAGTCAAAGGGCTAATCCTCCTTCTGACCTGGAAATTGGTACCAGATGTGAGTGTGTGTGCCTATGTTTGGTGGGGTTGGAGGTGCATTTTCCTGGCAAGAAGCCACATAACTTTTGGGGGGATTGGGGGGAGACTAGGGATTTAATCCAGGGATAATTTACTACCAAGCTATATCACCAGCCCTTTTATGTTTTGAGACAGGGTCTCACCAAGTTGCTTAGGGCCTGACAAAGTTGCTGAGGCTGGCCTTGAACCTGTGATCCTCCTGTCTCAGCCTCCTGAGCCACTGGGATTATAGGCATGCACCACCATGCCCAGTTAGGAAGCTCTGTAACTTTAATTCATTACCATGTCAGAAGATACCATGATTGAGGCATATAGACTTGGCCTTTAGGAGGTGATGGGGGATTGGGTTCCCCGCCTCTCAGAGGTGAGCACATGCCTTTCCCTGTACTCAGTGAGTGTGAATGTCAGGTCTTCTCTGACCCTGTGGTAACATGGTAAGCATCACTCCCTCTCTTTTTCATCATGAAATATTCAGCTGGCACTAGTTGTGTGCCAGGCCTTGTACCAGGCTCACAGAGAAGAAGAAGACCTGCCTCACCCCTTAGGGAACTGGCTGTCATGTTGACAGATGTGGAAGAGATTCTTCCCAGGTTGTCAGTCAAGGCACCATGGCAGGCTGTGGGAGCCTGAGGCATCACTTGGTTCTGAAGGGCTGTGAGCAAGAAAAGATGTTTTTTTCTTATCACCTCCTGTGCCCCTACTGCCCTGGAAAGCCTGGCCTTGGGACAGCTTGTAGGGTGACCTGTGCTGCCCAGAGACACCTCTTCCTGAGCCTTCCCCTGATCTTGATATTCAAGAAGTGAGCATGGGTGTGCCATCAGATAACCTGGGCCCACTCAGGTTTCTCCCAGCTGCCAGGGCTCGTGCCACCTGAGATGTCTGGGCACTGCATGCTGGGCACCTCACGAGACCTGTTCGGAGGGCTGGGCAGAAGCCAGGAACAGGTAGGGGTGGCACAGATCACCTTCTGTGACTCAGCCTGGTCTCACCCTCTCCTTATGAATCAGAATCTCCCGAGAGCAGCGCCCAGGAATCTAGTTGTTAAATGCTTCCTAAGTGACTCCAGTGACCATTTGGGTTGGGGAAGCCCTGATGAGTGACGTTTCCCACCTTCCATCGTGGGAGGCTGGGGTTGGGACGAAAGAGGTACTCTGAGACATGCATGGGAGTGGGGTCCTTCTCTCCACATCCTGGTTGTTCCATGGCTCATCCATCAAAGGGGTCCTGCTCCTCCCTATTGGGACTCTGATTGTCATCTTCTCACCCGCCTTATGTGGGCAGAAGTAAAAGGGGTAAACCACCTGCTTTGGTAATAAGAGAAGTTGGAGACAAGCGATACATGTAGTCACATGTACTGTAGGTACAGCTTGAAGGACCAAGCGTTCCACCTGCAAAGGAGAGTACTGACAATTTTAAAACCTCCACGTGAGCCCCACCCCCTCCCCCAGGGAGTGTGATGTAGGCAGGACAGCTGTTTCAATTTCCATTTCACAGACATTCAAAGAGGTTCTCTAACTTGACTCAAGTCCGGAAAATGCAGTCACGTGTCACTTACCCATGGGGATGTGTTCTGAGAAGGGCGCTGTGCGATGGTTCATTGTTTTGTGAATACTGAGAATCTACTTTCACAAACTAAGAAAACTATATACTGAGGTCCATCATTGACCAAAACATTATTCTGGAGTAAGTTGCAGACCTGGTTTAATACTTCTGGACATCCAGAACTTTCTGTTAAATTCAGAACTTTCTGCTTCACCATCATTTTATACTTACTATGGGTCCAGGTCAATTCGGCCATCCGTCCATTTAATTAATCCTAAAAACTCTTTTTTTCCTTCCTTCTTTCCTGTTCTGGGGATTAAACACAGGGGCTTGCACATGCTAGGCAAGCATTCTGGTACTTCCATGTGCCTGAAGTTGCCCAGATTGGCCTTGGACTTGCAATCCTCCTGCCTTAGCCTCCGAAGCAGTTGGGATTACAGGTGTGCACCACCACACCTAGCTGGCATGCCTTTTAAATTAGGCCAAATCCTAACCTCTTTCTGGTTTCTTTGTCTCATGTTTGAAGCTGCCATCTCTGCCAGGTACTGGTAGCTTGGGCTCAATGTCCAAACAGTTATGCCTTGGTATCTGCAGGGGCATTGGTTCTAGGACCCCCTCAGATGCCAAAATCTGAGAATGCTCAAGTCTCTTATGTCAAATGGTATGGTATTTGCATATAACCTATGCATATCCTCCTGTATATTTTTAATCATCTCTAAATTATTTATAATACTTAATACAGTAGAAATGCCATATAAATGGTTGTTCGTATTGGTCAGGGAATTATAAGAAACGAAAGTCTGCACGTTTGGTCAGACGTGAAAAAAATATTTCCCCCAATATTTTCCATTGTCAGTTGGTCAGAGCTGAGATGCAGAACCCGTGGATACAGTAGCCACTGTACTCCCCTCTCCTCGAGCAGCTCATTGTTACCCAGGCCCTATCTCTGTGACTAGACCTGCATTCTCTCCCTACCTGATTCTGCAGAGAAAAGAAGGTCAAGTAATCAGATGAAATAACTTAGGTGATAGATTGCATTATTGTTCAAAATGTTTGCTATCCTCAGAGTGCCCTCCCTGAGGCCTATGGGAGGATCATAAAATTCCTGCACCATCATCATCATCATCATCATCATTTTGGAAGCAGAAATTGAACCTAGGGGCACTTAATCACTGAGCCACATCTCCAGTCCTTTTTAAACAACAACAACAACAACAACAAATACACATTTTTTTTCTGAAAAAACATTTTCCCTGAGGCAGAGAAACCAGAAAGGGTTTAGGATTTGGCATAATTTAAGGAAGGGGAGTTGCTGAGGCTGGCTTTGAATTCCTCATCCTCCTGCCTCAGCCTCTGGAGCTACTGGGACCACAGGCATGTGCCACTGTGACCTGCACCTGCCTTATTGAACCCAGAAAGGGCCATGAGACTAGCTCAGCCCTGGTTGTCAAAGCTGGTGGGTGGTCCACCATCTATCTTGTGCTTCTGTCACAGTGACCTGCAGTGTTCAGTTTTATCAGAGACGGTTTTATCAAACTGGGTTCCAGAGTGAAGAAAATGGGCAGAGGGGCTGGGGATGTGGCTCAAGCGGTAGTGCGCTTGCCTGGCATGCGTGCGGACCGGGTTTGATCCTCAGCACCACATACCAACAAAGATGTTGTGTCCGCCGAGAACTAAAAAATAAATATTAAAAATTTTCTCTCTCTCTCACACTCTCTCTCTCTCTCTTTAAAAAAAAAGAAAATGGGTAGAGGAGCAACCAGCCACAATAGACATGAGATGGAGAGGGAAATGAACATTTGTTAATTTATTAGATAACGCAAGAAGGCTCCAAAGCAAGACATATATAGTATCCCATTTTTGTAAACTCGTATACCTAAGTATGTTCATTTCTGCAAAGATACACAACCAGAATTCTAACATTTGTTAATTTACATGTGTTAATTTCTACATTCTTCTCTTGTAAACCAGTAGATTTTTCAGTTTATTAGCGCAGCATAACTAAAACTAAATTGATACAGTGACAGGATTCCATCATTCAAAGATTAACTACTGTTAAAATTCTAGTGCACAGCTCTGCAGAAATTCTTCTATGCAAATGAACATACTTAGATATTCAATCCTACAAAAATTATATATATATATATATATATATATGTGTGTGTATACACACACACACACACACACACACACACACGTTTGCTTTGGGGCCTTCTTGTAGACATCTTTCTATGTCAAGTTTTTTTTTTTTTTTAATTGTCCTGGGGATTGAACCCAGGGCCTTGTGCATGTGGCAAGCGCTCTACCAACTGAGCTGTATCCCCAGTCTCTTTCTACTTCAGTTTTATTTCTGTGTCCTATTTTTAGTATGGATCCATAGTGTACCCACTGCAAAGTAATGCCAAAAAATCTAGTTCTGCAATTCCTTTTCTAAGATATGGGGTCTCATTTTTTATTATTATAAACTGGGCAGTGATCATCTTACATAAATAGTTTGATGTATTTGTTGGATCATTTCCTTAGGTTCAGGATAAATCCAAGAGGCAGAAGTGCTGACTCTGGAGGGGTGCACATCATTTGTTTGGGTCCATCTTGCCACACCGTCCCCCAGAAGGCCTGCTTGCGCTCTCGCCAGCTCACTGCTGCTCATTTCTTTACAGCCTCATCGATAGCAAGCATGATCAGTTTTGCCAAAAGATCCCCAATCTGATATATACATATTTTTTATGATGGTGGAGATTAACTCACATGCAAAGCAAGTGCTCTATCTCTGAGTTGTATTCCCAGTGCCTGAAGAGCATTCTTGTTTTTTTGCCGGGGGGTGGGGGGGTGGGGGGGTGGGGACGGGGTGGTGAGGTGAAGGTACTGGGGATTGAACTCAGGGGCACTCAACCACTGAGCCACATCCCCACCCTTATTTTGTATTTTATTTAGAGACAAGGTCTCACTGAGTTGCTTAGCACCTCACTTTTGCTGAGGCTGGCTTTGAACTCACAATCCTCTTCCCTCAGCCTCCCCAGCCACTGGGATGGCAGGTGTGTGCCACTGCACCTGGCCTGAAGAGCATTCTTAAGTGGCTTCAGTGTCCACTAACACACTGCCTCCCTAACTTTGGCAACTATTTTTTGGTCCATTTGCTTACCATAAAGTCAGAGAGCAAAGGGGAACCTTTGGAACCTTCCAAAGCCTTTGGAACCTTCCAGGTAGAAGGCTGAGCTGGTATCACTTGCCCAGTGTTATAAATGACCTCTGAATTTTTCTTAGCCAGAAACCCTTTCAGAGAGTCCCAGATCTCCCTTCTTCCTCCTCCTGCCTTCTCTTCTTTTCTCTGAGGGAAATATTAAAACTAACTTTTAAATTTATTCTTAGGCAAACAACACGAAAGAAACAGAATTGTAG